TTCCCTACATTATGTTAGTATGCAGGGTAAAGGGTACAAGACAGAAAAACTGGACACCTTCTTCCTGCTTGGATTCCTTCTTACTCTTGGACAGGAAAGGACAAAGCCAACCCACCACACAACACAGTTTAGTGGAAGGAACTGACGTTAAACTGTGCTGAGAAGGAATAAAGAAAAATCAGGCAAAAAGTGATTTGAAACTTGAAACCATGAGCTCAATCCCAACCCTCTGTTTCGACACCAGGGTTGGATATACTCCTATGGGAAATGCTAACTTTTGGCAGCAGTCTTCAAAAAAAACCCAAACACAAGTTCACTTTGTCTCCCTTGGCCAAAAAAGTAGTGTGAGAGGTGCCCTGAGGTGCTATTGCTTAAAATGAGAATGTATTAGGAACTTCCAGTGTCCTAAGGCTTCTTGTCTTTCCCCAGCCCTAGAGCTCCTCACTGTTGGAGTTTGTGAGCTATCAGGGCCCATCCATGGAATCTGCTTTTCCTCTGACTCATCATTTGCCAACCACAACTTTATTTGATTAAATACAGTTGGACTCTGACACATCTGATGGAGATTACCTGTAAGAACCCATCCCAAACAACCTGCTAGCCTGAACAAAACAGGATCAATAACTTGGCACAGGATAGGTTTGTATTGCTCTTATCTTATTTTTTAAAAGACCTTCTGATCACATCTGTTGTGCAACGTGCACTGTGTGCCCGTCTTGTCACACAGGTCCTCTCAGGGCAGGTGCTCCCACTGCCTCCAAGAAAACACTACTAATGCTTGAAGTATGTCAGGCTTGAAGAATCCATTCCATTTTGAGGCTTTGTCCCATTCCATCTTTCTTAGCAGGTTGCTCAGAGCCTTGAGCAGTTGAGTGTCTGCATGGAGGAAGATTCCACAGATTCTCTGTGAAATCTATTCCACTATTTGACTATCTTCACTGTAATATTTTTTAGAATCTAATCAGAATTTCCTCCTAGCACCTAATCAGAATTTCCCTTGTTATAACTCCTATCACTTGCCCTTTGGCTGTGCACATCCCTATCTTCACAACCACCCAGCAGGGAGCTGACAACAGCAACATGCAAAAATTCTGCTGGGACACTACAGTAAAAAGTGTTGGCCATAGTTTTCTGTGGTTAAAGAGATCATTCTGCTCTGATGGCCTTGTAGTAGACAACATTAGATCCATGAGAGGCAGATGTAAAAGGGGAACCTCAGTTCCCCTTGCTGGAAGGTTGATGCTCCAGAACAGCAGTGCTGTGTCAAACCTTCTGAACCTTTGCATGTGAAGATCTAGAGAGCAGAACACAGTACAAAATGTGACTCTGCTTTGAGTTTTTAGGAAGAGAAGGAGCCACTGATTGATTGAGTCACATATTCTGTGCATTTAGGAAAGAGTTAAAATTACAATCACATTTCTAGCAGAAATTTGATAAGGTCTGAGAGTGTTACTATCACAGTTTTCCAGACTGATTTCTTCCACACAAGGGAAGACAAGGAATATCACCTTGTATGGCTGTTCACAGGTGAAGCTGAACACACACTTCGGTTTGGTAAGCAGCATCTCTTGGCACAGAGCTGGAGCTGCAGAGAGCTCTGCAGGCTGAATAGGAGTTAACACTGTTTCTGTTTCTCCTTTAAAATACTCAATTTATGACAGAAGTCTTGCCTGGGCAAAGACTCCTAGTTTCAAACAGAACTGCCATGTCTGCTTAGCCTCTCTCTCCCCAAAATCTCAGGACACCTCCTTTATTAAGCCACATTTCAGGATAAAATTTTACATGATTTACACTAAACCAAGAAAAATGTGGATGGATTAAGTTTTCCCCAACATCTCATTACCTACTGTTTTTTGTTGGATGATGTCTCTCCTGATTCAGAATACACCAAATACATTAAAAACCCATTCATGTAACCATGGCTGTTACAGCAAACAAAAAAGCCATTCAACTGCTTGGCACTGCTGTCATGTTGGCATGTTTTACAGCCTTGAATCAACCACTGAAGCTCTCAGCTGCCTGCAGCTATTTCCAAATATCAGTTAGAACTAGTGCTCTTTAAGGGGAAAAAATGTTCCTTTTCAGTTATTTCAAATTAACACAGAATTTGATCCAAACCAAATTCTCAACCTTAAAGTAAAAGTAATTGCTTTTCCAATCAGTCTCTTGATATTAAAGGGGAAATATAGACTAGTTTAAAAAGAATTTTAATACATTTTTAAATTACTATTTCCATGTATAACTTCATTTGTCCAACAACTGTTCATTAAATCACTGATCTATTTTCACTGAATTTTCCACTTCAGGTACCAGAAAGAGCTAATTTGTCCAAATCATGTTTTACAATGCTCAGTATAATCTGAAAAGGAAAGAGCTGCTCTATGTTTTTGCATTTGTTCTAACATGTGCAGTATGATCTATGTCCCATCTCTGCTGTCCCCTTACATTTCTGGTGCCCAGGAGCTGAGGCAGCACAGGTGCCCTTCTCACCACTGCACTGCATCCTTCTGGTACCAGCCAGTCCTGCACAGCAGGGGCAGCTGAGGATTGCTGGACTGGCTGCCCACCACAACTCCTTGGCATTCCTTCTGCCTTCCTGCTTGAACATTCTCCTTAGACCTTACTTCACTGGCATCCACCTTTACAGTGTATAGTGGGAAACCTCTCCTGAGGGAAAACAGGCTGTGGCTATCCATCAAAGTAGAGAACACAGAGAAACAAAAGCACAGGACCACTTACCTGGTCACCTGCAAAGCTGCATATCAGCCACACTGCGTGGACAGGCACAGGACTAGTCGTGTTTGATGTCCTACCAAGCACTGCACAGCTCTGAGGGCAACCACTGTTCCTAGAAGAGCTTCCAATGGACTTCACACAGACACATGACGTTGCCTTTTAATGATTTCCTCAAGGTTTCTATCATATCTTTCCAAGCTACTACACCCTTGAACTCTGGCTGCCCATTCTTTGCTCACCTCCTGCTGATGGTAGCCTAGGAGAGGTCCTTTGTGTCTATTCAGAGCCCAGAGTTCAACTCCTCACCTTTCACTACTGCTGTGGAAACTTTATGAGGGTTTAGGAAAGGCGATGGGGGTGTGTTTCCAAGCAGGAGCTGGCTGTCCCCTCCCAGACAAGTCATGTGAAGCCAGTGCCATGTCACTGTTAGTGCTGGCAGTGTTCCCCGTGCCTATGTGCACACTGTTACTCAGCTGAGCACGTGAAATACATCTCTGCAGGTAAGAGTTTTTCATCTACAGCTCATGGTTGTACCTGAGATTAAAAAAAAACACCCACTGACACCTTAAAGATAAATAGTTTTTATAAAGCCCTAACTCATGGTTTGAGCACAGAATCCTTAGTGCCAGTGCAACTGAATGGGTCAAAGGTGTATTTGTTAAAAGCAGTAAGGGTTGCTGTGGAATTTGGCAGAAAAACAGCAGTGCAGTTTTCAATCCGTTGTACCAAGTCTATAAATGACACCAACACTGTTGCTACAGTGCCCTCAACCACTGACAGGCACTGGTTCCATGCAGAAGGAGCAGGTGCATACAGGTTACCATGTGCTTGGGCTCAGTTGTGTTTAAATATGATGTTGACAAGACATCTGTAATTACGGTATTGCAGAGAGCAAGATGTAATTTACAGTAGCATTGCCCTCTACTATGCAAATGTGGCCCCAATCTGTTACTTACCCAATATAGATTGTCCTTTTGCAAACTAGGCTCTGAG